CGGCTGCATTGGAGCTCATGCACCAAAACAATATGGTTCATGCTGACATTAGTTCATGCAGGCAACATCATGATGAGGCCGCAGCCGGCGTGCTACGTCCTTATCGACTACGCAGGCTGCTCTGGTGACACTGTCTACCCGCTCAAACTTGGGTATGGTGCCATTGGCTTTGGGGGCTCGCTGCACAGGCCGCCTCACCACGAAGCCGACCCCAATCCCGTTCGCACGGCCTATGGCGACTATTACCGCGCTGCCCAGTGCATCAAGTTTCACCTCAGTCGGGGTGAAAGACCACACGAAGGTTCTCGCAAGAGAACCAAGACTTTGCCCCACCACGTGGACAAGGAACTGCAGCACTGGATAGACCGGGAGGCTTTGCCGATCCCCCACCCCATTTTCGCCCGGCACTTGGATTCAGACGGCGATCAACCCCCAGGTGTTGGTCACCGCCTTTCTATGGAATGACACCGGCAGCATTAGTCGCGACTCGGCCATCTTCAAGAGCCCGGACCACAAGCTCGGGAACCAGAACGGTACCTTCGTGGATGAAGAGGTTGGTGGCATTGCCCAAGGAACCGGATCTTGGGAGCGGTCGGCCACCTTTGCTAAATTCTTCCTGCAAGGTGCCTTGCGGATGTGTGGCACACATGAGCGGGCCTTCTGTCAGGAGATCTTCCCTTGGCAGGCATACGCCAATGATGACGGCTACCTGGTTGCGGAGAATCCACCACCCCCTCCTCCAAATTCTGAAGAAGGCTCCGAAATGACGGAAGTCACCCAGACAGGGAAGGGGGCATGGCCCAAGCTCTGGCTGTAGACCCAGGACAGGCCTCGCCCCTGAAGGGAATCTGGGCCCCGTGCCCACAAGCGGGAGGCGACCAAGCTGCTCGAGGAGGCCATCGCGGCAATCCCGGATGAGATGGCGAACATGCCGGCCGAGACGACGCGGCACGCCCCGAAGGTGGATACCACATCAATTTGCGCCTCGCCTCCGCCCAAGCACACCTGGGCGGCCTGTCGGCCTCTGAGCGCCCGAGTGGGGCGTGGGCTGGTGCTCTGCGATTTGCGGCAGAGGTGCTGCACGACATGGCTGAGAATCTAGATCCCGGCAAGGGGCAGCAAGACTCGCCAGTGGCCGCCGCATCGCCGGAGCCGGGGACTACCACACCAGCTGAGACGTTGGCCAATGGAACAGCCTTGACCCCGGAGCTTCAATCGCAGCTCGGATGAGGGTTCTCCCTCATTCTGGAGGCATTGCCAAGCCGCTAGGTATAACGATTTTCCTAGCTGGAGGCATTGCCTACCCTAGTGACGGGCGGTGGCACTCAGCCCGCCTGTCTTCAGAGGCTGTGATCCATGAGCTATTTCTTCTGATGCTGCATTCGAAGCGAAAACTTGCAGTCTGAGAGATGCGGATACTCAGACAGTCTGCCAGAGGCAACTTGCCTCTTCAAGGACTCATGTTCTCAGAACGTAATCTTGCGCAGCCGGCTCAGCCATCCCTTAGGGAAGAGGCTCTACGAGTAGGGCACATGTGGAGGTTGTCACCTGCCCCGGCGGACATGCCGCTCGATGTCGCGGATGAGGACTGCGCTGCTCCTTCCCCGTCAACCAAGCGCCGCAGAAGGGCAGCCCCGATCCCAGTCCCAGCAGAGGCCTCAAGACACTTGACCGAAGCGGAGCGGGAGTTGCAGCAAAGGCACGAATGCCTGACCACCGCCCTGCAGCTGTACCAGCCTGCCTCAGCAGGGGCGCAGCCGGGACTGCGCCTGATCCTTCCGCCCCGCATAATGGACGGGGACAACCCCTTCACGCTGTGCCCGCTCGAGGTTCTTGCAACAGACTGCCTCCACAGGCGATGGGTAGCCTTTGCACAGTTCGAGGAGATACTGAACGGCATGCCCAAGACCTCGGACACCAGACATCCCTCTCCGTTGGAGCCCATTACGCAGGACCAAAAGACCATGTTCTTCGGAGCATACGCGCAGGGGCCATTGGCCGGACTCAGGACACAGACGCGGAGATACCCCATGGTGATTCGGCTTCTCAACACCGTTATTCACACGTTGTGTGGACCCGTACCGCGCTCCACGCTGTTCCTTGCCCGGAACAGAGCGATGGGCCTGCGCACGGACCCGAACAATCACCGCGATGTCCCCAATTATCTCATCCCTCTCTCCAACTTCGAGGGCGGCCAGCTCTTCATCGAATCCCAGAACGGAGACTACAGCCTGGATGAGCACGGCATGCGGGGCTACGTCCACGAGGTAACGCTCCCCTTCCTGCGGTTCAATGCGCGTCGACGGCACATGGTTCTGCCCTGGTATGGACGCAGGCTCATCCTCGGGGCCTTCCCTGTTAAGGAAACTCAGATGCTGTCCGAGCCTACGCGACAGCTGCTACTGAGCCTGGGCTTCCTATTCCATGAGAATTCCTAGTCAGGCTAGCTGCACCATTGCCGAGCCGGCTTTTCGCCGGAGCTGGAGACAAGCACGCCCGGTATATAACCGTTTGGCGCAGGGTCCATGGGACATGCACGTCAGCTCTGCGAGCTGACCCCGATCAAAGTGCTGTCCAGAAGACAGGACCAGGCATGTCCTAGCTCACCGGAACTGAAAAAGGCGACTTGCTGCTAACAGCTTCAGCGAGCATCCTCATCTGCAAACTTTCGCCTGCCCAGACATATCTAAGGTCTAACTGGCAAGGGCAACAGCGTCGCTGGCTGCGTCAAGACGTGCCCCTCTGCCGCCTTGCACCGGAGCTAGCTTGCTTCGATTAAGCATTCAGCCAGGGCCTGCTAAAATCTGCAGATGTAGACGCCGCTGCTGTCATGCTCCGCAAGGCATGCTGCTAGCTGTCGAGGCATGGCACAGACACGTCATGAACCACTAGACACGGGACAAGCTGAATTTGCCAACTCTTTGTAACGCGACAGCTCGACTGGTGCCATTGGCCACTGACATAGCAAAGGTGCTGCAAGCTGGGAGCATTGCTCAATACCGGAGTTCTCCGCCATGGACACACGGTTCACAGGCGCTGCGGAAGGCCCCTTTCTGGTATTGAGCGACAGCACCCTCCAGCACCTGCTCTTCACCCCCGGGAGGGGGAAATCCTACGGGGTGGAGCCCGTCATGGGTGGCTACGCGATCGTCAGCCCGGGAGCTACGTTGGTCGCGCCCTACCGGCAGGAGCCGAAGAACCCCCCGGTCCTGGAAATTCGGCGTCCAGCCAGTCCACCACGGCTTTTCCTGTCCAGCACCCAGGTCTCAAACAATGCCTCCAAGACGCCTTTCATCGGCCGGTGAATGTGGGCCTCATTCCCTTGCGGGAGAGCTTGCCGTCCCACAAACAAGGCTCGTACAATTGGATCGCCGGTGTTAGGGACGAGTACGGTCTCGGGTCGTTTGAGCTCCAGGAGCAGACCATCATGAGCCTCCAAGCCCGCCAAGATGAATGGCCTACGCCCCCGTACCTCGTCGACCAGCTCTACAAGCAGAACAACTGTCACTTCCGCCCGGAGGTTGCGGAAAAGGCTATCGGCCTGCTTGTTGGTCGCGCGTTAAGGACCATGAGACGACAACAGCCGGGCAAGTTCCAGGTCCTGGTGATATGCTCCTGGAACTCTACGGATGACAATGTTCACCAGGAGATGCACGCCACGGCGGAGCTTTGCCGGGCTACCATAGTCTCGGAGTTGGGGTCATTGGCCGCCAGGCACACTCAGAAGCCCTGGGCATTGAGGCGGTACTTGGAGCCATTGGCTATGAAGCGGGAGATGCCGAGGCACCTTTTTCAGACCTACATTCACGACGATCATCCAGGGCCTCGGGAGATGTGCGACACCCAGTTTCAAGGCTTCCGCTTCTTCAATGACGCTGATCTGGAAAACGTGGTGCGGAACCACGCTGGGTCCATTGGGCTGAACTTGATTCAGCGCCTGACACAGCCTGCTCACCGAGCTGATGTATTCCGCTACATCCAGCACTATACAACCAGGGCGGCTTTTACATGGACATCAAGCTCTGCTTCACTGTCACCTTTGATAAACTGCGTGCGCACATGGCCGCAGACTGGCAAGCGGCGCATCAGGATGAGTGCTGGAAGTTGGGCCTGCCGGAATCTCCGGCAGGCCAGCTCCCATCGGAGTACCTCCTGATGGGCATTGGCCAACGAGGGGACCACATCTTCCAGGGCATCATCTACGGCCAACCCAAGCACCCCCTGCTCCTCCAGGCCATCAAACACTCCTTTTCGCGCCGCATCTTGTCTTGCATCGCTAACAGGGAGTACATGGTCTTCTGCAAGGAGCTCTGGCGACTGCTCCAGCAGGACCTGGGAAAAGAGCCTCAGGTGGGATGGAACCTCACGCGGCTCTATGGGCCGGTGTATTTGTTGCGCGAGCACCTCGCCAAACAATACAAGGGTGGTGCCACTGGCTCAGACGGATTTCACTTCAAGACGGCAGGTGGACACGTGGTGGCTCTCACCCGCAACTGGGAATGGCGTCGAGGCTTCAAGGGGGACCCCACGGCCAAAGAACGCAGGGCCCAATTTCTGCTGCAGGCCCTGCCCCAGGCGGTCTCGGAGGCGCAGGATGTGAAAGCCTTTGCGCACACCATTGAGATGCCTCCAAGGGAGCAGCAGGGGGCATTGCCCAAATTAGGCGAGGTGGGGGAGAACGTGGTGCAAAGCATCGATGACAACACATTCGATGCCATTATGGACGTGGTCAAAAACGAGCCCCACTACTACGAGGACATACAAGCACAGGACGTTCTGAGCTTTATCCCGAAGGGTCTCATTTTGCACCCAATGAGACAGGGGTGGCTATCCTGTCGCCGCTGCAAGCAAAGAGGGTCGCAAAACCCGCTGGAATTCCCGAACTCCGGCGGGGTGCTCAACCATTTCCGCAACCGTGGAGGGGCACACACACCTTCTGAGCAGGCAGTGCAGGCCTCTTCGTCGTCGACGGCGCCACCCCCACCACCCTGGCTGCCCACTCAGTCGGCAAGTGAGACTGGCCAAATTCCCGCACCGGAACCAGTGGCGGATCAGCCGCCGCGGTCACGGTTCCTGCTGCCACTTCCCAGCTTCGACACAGCCTGGGCATGCCTCCCCTGCCAACACTCAGAGAGCAAAACGCACAGTCAGCCGCAGCGGCCTTAGCGCCGCAAGCCCGCTCTCCCCAGGAGCCAGATCGCCTGAGCTCCCCCCCTCCTTGGGACACTCTGTCCGAGAAGGGACGAGCCGTGCAGATCCCAACCGCTCCACTTGCAGGCTCGGCGCCTCCCCCCATGCCAGCATCTGCGGCCTTTGCAACTCCGCCCAGCACCCCTGCAGAGGTGCCCTTGGTCTCAATGACCTCAGACAGTGGGGACGGTTGAGACCGGAAGGGCACATGGTGCAACCTATAGCGCATCAGCAGGGGCCATTGGTCGGAGACGAGCCGCCGACGACGATCCCGGCGGACCAGCTCAAGGTGGTCAAATACCGCGGCCCCATCGAGGTTACGGAGCTTCTTGGATATGAGGCCGGACCGTCCATCCAGTCAAGAGACGCCGAGATTCCCAGAAGGGAACGTATCGTCCAAGAGTGTCAATCTGATGCTTTCTTCGACTGGCTACATGCTTTGGCCACGATTTTGCTGTTTAACGAGTCGCTGATTCTGGGTGGACTCAAGTCCACTGAACTCACGGCATTGTGGAGCCGCCGAATTGCGACTCTTAGCAAAGTCCCGTGGATTTTTGGGCCTCTCCTTCTTGTCCGCAATGTTACCCACAAAACTTCGTGGATGGAAGCAATGTCAGCCCGACTGGTGGACGATGATCGAGGCCGTTTGACGGTTTCCCTTGCTATGCCGGAAGGCACGCAGAGCCTGGCCACGATCACAGTCTACTTCGGCGTACTCGGTGGCCTCTTCCGAAACATGTGGGATCGCGATGAGATGGCGGCACTTCTGGAGTCGGACGACAACTTCGAGATTGTTGCGTCCACGGCCAAATCCATCTATGACCGCACCTGCCGCTCCTGCGAACTGGAAAATCGCCTCATTATCCTCCACAGCACAAGGATGGCAAGGTCCAGCGGGGCATGCGCATTGATCATCGAGCTGGGGATACAGAAGCGAAGAAGAACTACCTCAACCAGCAGAAGCGGTTGGCGGAGAAGTCCGCAGCCCCAGCGGACAAGAGGCATCGAGATGGCCAGGAGTGGAGGGAGCCCAGGTGGCAGCAGTCCGGCTGGTGGCACAACTACCGCAACCAGGGCTCGAGCAGCGAAGACCGCCAAGATCAGTCTTCCTCTTCGTGGCAGTGGAAAAAGAGGTAGTTAAGCCACAGCCGGGGCCATTGGCCATCAAACACGGATTGTCCTTGGAGGACACCCCAAGGGGCAATTTTGAGGAGGTGTTCGACACGTACGGCCCTCCGTGCGTTTTTTTTGCCACTGACTCGACTCAATTTGAGATGAGCATGGAAAAAGCCCTTGCACAGTGGCCTGCCCAAGCTCCCTCAACGCACTTACTGGATGACATGTGGAGAGCCGATGCTTCAGGTACTTCGTTTCCGTACCACCGCATACTACCTGACCGTGGTCCTGTCACGTGGA